TGTGTGTGTGTGCGTGTGTGTGTGTGTTTGTGTGTGTGTGTGTGCGTGTGTGTGTGTGTGCGTGTGTGTGTGTGTGAGAGAGAGAGAGAGAGCATGAGGGTTTGTGCTGCTACGGTCCTGATTTTCAGTCCCGGTCTCTCACGTATACAGTTGACACAGAGTGTCCAACGCATGGGTAGATGCACTCGTGTGGTTCGTCAGTTGGCAGTTGCACTTTCTGATGGTTGATATCTAAGCTAGCATAGGGAGGGAGATTGTCGTAAAAGCCAATTGGATGTCATTTAACACGACTCCAACGATGTTCCATGGATGAGGTAGTAGATCCTGCAATTACTATCAAAGTGATTGGACATCAATGGTATTGGACTTACGAGTATTCAGATTAAAATACTTCTGATGAACAGTCACTTACTTTTGGAGGTGGAAAAGGGACAAGAGGGACATGCAAATTGTCGTGGCCTCGAGGACCAAACACGGTAAGCATTGCTCCCATGTAGCCGGTCGGGGAAGCACCAAAGGTGATGTGAGAACTGGATGAGTGTGTGTGACGCACCTGTCTGCATGCTCATCGTTCTTCTCATTCGGTTGTGGTTCGTTCTATTCAATTGCTGTATATTTATAAGGCAAACGTTTCGATCATCGAATGTGCCTATTTTGTGCTGTAACTCTCTTCTGTCAAACAAGTTTTGCGAGGGTATTGTTCTGCCTGTCTGCAGGAGCCCCTACCCTCACCAACATGTTTTGGCACAATGAACTCTGTATCGACTGCTAGCCACTATTTGCCGGGCTCATTCGTCCCTATGGTAGAGTTGTGCTTAGCTCCTTTTCCCTAATGTTCCGACAAAGGATGGATGCCCTAGCCTTGAGCCCCCAACTCCAGGAAAGGATGATTTTGAAGAAATGAGGATGACAGCTTCTTATGTCTTGCGTGCGCTGATCAGAGTGGTGGTCCTTTCTGGGCCCGGAAGGAAGTAAACGGGTGGCAGTGTGGCGGTATGTGCTTTTGGTACTGGTCGGCGAGCTAAGTACACGTTCTCGTTGCATGAAAGAGCCGCGTCGGTGATTGTTGTTAGATGCAAAGCGGCCCTTTCGGCCCTGTATGACGAATTGCGAGCACTTTCTCATTGCACGAAAGAGCCGCTTCAGTGATTTTCATTAAATGTATTTTTTTGTGGAGCGTGGGAGGTGACATCCTTGTCGTATACTCGGGTTCAAGCTCTCCTCGTCGATTTAAACTGATCTATTCGTAGTCGATTTTGATGTGTATGTGTGTTTGCTTGGCTATCGCTAGGGTTCGGCCGCTCGGGTATCGTCTGTCAATTTTGATAGGTACAAGCGTGTTGTTTGGGTATCATCTCTGGAGCTAGGGTCCATTGTCTGGTTCTCCTTACGGACAACTGAGGGCATACTCGCACTAGCGGTTTTTTTTGCTAAATCGCAAAATCTGCTATGCTGTTAGGGTATTCCGACCACCGAAATTGCAAACGGGGTAGCATTTGTCAGCGGCCTGGGGGGCTGCGGGGATGGGCATTTTGCTACCGGCTTGAGAGGTGGTCGCAAATTCTCTTTTGGCCATGGCAAATTCTCTTTCGCCTTTTGGGAAATTCCATTCGTAAAAGAAAATTTCCGTGCTTTGTGACCATGCGAGGCACCAGTTTTGCAATTGTCAGAGAGTCCCGCTTGTGTCCTTTCTGATTCCATGTGTGACCGGGCAGGGTATGATTTTTTTCAGCAAACATGGGAAAGAAAATTCAGCAGATTTTGCTAGACTGCCACCGCTGTGTGAGTACGCCCTGAGTGTGGCTTTCTCATACTCTGGCCAATTCTGTGTAGTTTCCTTGTTACGGGGAACATTTTTCTTTACTACTAGAATCAATCTCATCGTAATCTGCTAGAAACAATCTCATCGCAATCTCGCTAGAAACAATCTCATCGTAATCTCGGGAATGCTTATGTGGAGTCTTCTGCGCACGTTGGACTGGAAAGAACCTAGCTGCCAGAAACTCTTTAGATTGTTTTCCTTGTCCTCTATGAAATGAAAACACTGTCATTAGCGGCGTGTGTGTGTGTGGGTGGGTGGGTTTGTTTTGTGCTTAATGTGAATGTGTCCGCCGTGTGGGCTTTTGGTGTATGCGATGTCACGTAAATTGTTATAAAACTTTCAAGAAATGTGTTTTTTTAAATGTGATACGTTACAACCCCTGCTTTGGGGATTTTCCCTTCTATTGTCTGCCTGGCAATCAAATGTCGAGGCGTGGCGTAGGATGGTAGGAGGGATTGTCCAGTTTCTTGGTGTATATCATGGTTCCACGAACTTCCACTTGGTTGTATGATTATCAAAGTGCTGGAGCAAAAATTGAGCATAGAGGAAGAAGAAGATGGTGTGCGTGCGTGCAGCGAGGGGGGGTGAGGGGGGTGATGTGCGGCAATTGGGGGGGGGGGGGGGGGGGGGGGGGGGGAAGAACTCAGCAGACAAGCAAATGGCATACATCCAACGTTGGCTCAGCTGATCTCATACATTGAAAACACAGCAAACGGACTCAGAAGCGGCATTCTAAGCAATCAGATCAGAAGGACAGGGGGGGCCGGGGGGGGCGGGGGGTGGAATTGAGAAAAGAAGGAAACCATAAATTTTATGTCTCGTTGTACATTGAGAAAAGAAGGAAAACATAATTTTTTTGTCTCGTTGTACGTTTAGCCCATTTACATCATTATTCTCCAACCTTATTGAAGCTGCACCAGTGTGTCTGTGCCCACCCCGCCACCCTTTGCTATCCACGTGAGAGCTCGTACTCTGCTTCGAAGGCAACTGGACAGAAAACATTTTGTTTTTTTGTTTGTTTTTTGGGTTCATCTGCTGGGAGTCAATTCCAGGTCTTTTGCTTGGAAGGGGAATATCCTAAAATTTTTAACCGTCTCTCAATCTATGCCTCAGTTTCCTGTCATGCAGCTTGCGCCCTGACAATCGTTGGCCTTGTTTGTGGGCTCGGGAAGCTGTTTGTCAGTGTCGCTTCGTTTTTGACTCCGCTCCGTTCTCAAGTGGCCGGAATCGATCACCAAAACCATCCTTTCTAAACACCCGTATTCTGCTTTTTTCAGGAGCTGCCTGCTGTAACTTGGGCTCCTCATGCTGAATAAGCTGGTTTAGACTTAAAATCAACGAGCCGTTTATGGCATATTGGAGATAATTGGACACTATTCTCACTATTCTAGTAGCATTAGTTGTAAGTACTTTTTACTGCATTTCAAGGAATGGGATATGTAGAACCTGTCAATCCTTGCACAGTAACCATGATATTTTTTTAATTTTTTTTTATGTGTTTTGGGAAAAAGAAAAGAAATCCATTATCAAAGCACAAAGACTCTTCTGACCCCGGCAATCCTCACAAACAACCCAGAGGTCACCAGGACACTGGGACCATTACCATTACCCATCTTCAGTTATTCAGTTAAGCCCAGCGGTTCCTAATGGCTATCATTACCTACCATTACTGCCAAAAGAATCAATTGAGACATCTGCTCTTTCGCTACTCGTACTACTGTCCCTGCTAATCTTCTGGTACGCACTTCCGATTATATCGGCGGGTGTTCCGATTTAATTGTCCTGAATATGGAAAATGTTGCCATTCTATTTATGGTGATGTTTCGTTGACTGGTTATGATGCATTTGAGAATCCTCGAATGGATGTCTCCTGATGAGCTGGCAGAAGTGTGAGTTTTGATTCTTTTGTTGAAATGTCGATTGTAATTTTTTTGCGAACCTCCTTGATTGGTAGGGCGTTAGTGACAGCGTTGTGCTAGCCGCTCTATGGTACAAATCTGCAGTATGGGCGCTTAGCAAGGAAGCATTGCGGTCGATCAGGCGGCAAATAACGACCTTGCTGTGGAGAGGCAACAGCGAGCT